AAACCTGTCTTCTTAGATCGTGCATCTAAATATTCCCTTTTAAAGTTAAAACAAGGGGCGCCTGGGTGGCTCAGTTGGTTGAGCGTCCGACTTCAGCTCAGGTCATGATCTCATGGTCTGTGAGTTCGAGCCCCGTGTCGGGCTCTGTGCTGACAGCTTGGAGCCTGAAGCCTGCTTCAGATTCTGTGTCTCCCTCTCTCTCTGACCCTCCCCCATTCATGCTCTGTCTCTGTCTCAAAAATAAATAATAAAACATTTAAAAAAATTTTTTTAATAAATAAATAAATAAAATTAAAACAAGACTCAGAATAATTGAGAAGCAATAGAATCACCCTCTGATACTCCAAAACCACAAGAAGCCCCAGGTTTTGCCTTTGCTGATGTTAACTCCTAACTGATACAAGGATGTGACATTAAGTTGGGGCTTATTGCATGCAAACATCTCCGCCAGAGGATTGGACCAGTGCATTTCCACCTTAGAAGCTAGTCCAGTCAGATGTTGTTGGTTTTGTGCTGCAATATGATTTTTGTTTTAAAATTATGATAATATTACATATATAACACAATTAAGCAATAAAATACATTTAAATACCTTTTTAAAGTGTAATATTTATCTCTCCATCTGTCCTGTTGTGTGTAGTGCCATTTTCCTCTTTTTTTCTTTTTCTTTCTTTCTTTCTTTCTTTCTTTCTTTCTTTCTTTCTGTGTATGTGTGGTAAAACATACATAGCATAAAATTTTACCAATCTCAGTCATTCTATGAGGCTAGCATTACCCTAATACCAACACCAGACAATGACATTATAAGAAAAGAAAACTACAGAACAATATCTCTTATTAATATAGATGCAAAAATCTTCAACAAAATATTTGCCAATTGAATACAAGAATGTATTAAAAGAATTATACACCACAACCAAGTGGGATTTATCCCAGGCATACAAGGCTGGTTCAGCATTTAAAAGTCAGTTAATGGGGGCGCCTGGGTGGCGCAGTCGGTTAAGCGTCCGACTTCAGCCAGGTCGCGATCTCGCGGTCCGTGAGTTCGAGCCCCGCGTCAGGCTCTGGGATGGCTCAGAGCCTGGAGCCTGTTTCCGATTCTGTGTCTCCCTCTCTCTCTGCCCCTCCCCCGTTCATGCTCTGTCTCTCCCTGTCCCAAAAATAAATAAACGTTAAAAAAAATTGTTAAAAGTCAGTTAATGTAATCTATCATGTCAACAAGCTAAAGAAGAACAAAATCACATGATCATATCAATAGATGCAGAAAAAGCATCTGACGTAACCCAACACCATTTATGACAAAAAAAAAAAAAAAAAAAAA